TTGGAAGGGACCTTAAAGTCCATCCAGTGCCACCCCTGCCATGGGCAGGGACAGCTTTTACTGTCCCAGGCTGTTCCCAGCCCTAATGTCCAGCCTGGCCTTGGGCACTGCCAGGGATCCAGGGGCAGCCACAGCTTCTCTGGGCACCCTGTGCCAGGGCCTCCCCACCCTCCCAGGGGAGAATTTCTTCCTAATAACCAACCTAAATTTCCCCTCTTTCAGTTTGAACCCATTCCCCTTGTCCTGTCASTCTGATGAACAGTCCCTCTCCTGCTTCCATGTAGGCTCCTTCAGGTACTGGAAGGTTCTGTGAGGTCTCCATGCAACTTTTTCTTCTTCCTCTCTCTCTCTCTCTCTCTATATATATATATATATTAAAATATATATATGTATAACCAGGATATATTTATATCCTTATTCCCTCCTTGATCTTCCCTTCGGATGCCCCAATTGGGATCATCATCTTGTCAATCAGCAAGGCCTTGTAGACATTTTACGTGGAAAATCCCTTGTGGAGGTGTCACTGCTGAAGCTGCATTGCACAGCCAGGCTGTTCCACCTGCAGCTCTGGGGTCAGCGCCGTTAGGAACTGCCAGAATTAGGAAGCCCCAAAATCCAGACCTTAGGAATGCCTATGGGCACGTCAGGGGTTGTTTCCTCTGCCTCCCACCCCGCCGTGTGCCCAGCTCAGGGCTGCTCCTGTCCCCGCTGCAGTCCTCGTGTTACACAGCCGGTAAATTAGTGCCTGAAGTGGCTCTTGTTTTGCAAGCATGATGGAAATCATAGCTGAGTCTGTGTGTGTTTGGAGTTGTGGAGAAGGCAGGGAGGGTGTCTGYGCCCAGCCTCCCTGCCCTGCCTGCCCGCGGGGGCATCAGTCACCTGGCAGTGCTCCCGCAGCACAGCCTGTCACCTTCTCCCTGCTGGCACAAAGGTGGCACCACCAGAAACACCCTGAGCAGAGGCAGAGAGCCTCCAAAAATCAGTCTGTGCTGCTGAGACAGAAATCCAACTCACACCAAAGCACCAGAGCTCACCGTGCTGGCTCATGACAGAATTKGCATTTCTCTCCCATTTTGTTGTCCCAGCAGAGATTTCCTTTTGCCCTGAGAGCAGCACAGCTAACAGGAGTGCTTTGTTCTGCTTTGTTTCCTCAGGGATCCACCAACGTGGTTTACCAAGCCCATCATGTCAGCAGGAGCAAGAGAGGCCAAGTTGTCGGCACCAGGGGAGGATTCCGAGGCTGCACGGTTTGGCTCACAGGTATTTGTGTCTGGGTGTGAAAGCGTGGCCTCACCTGTGAAACTCCGTGAGAATGGCTGGGAGGTGGGGATTTGGGATCTGCAGTGGGGATTTGGGATCACAGCGTCCCTGTGAACCGGGAATTGTGAAACATCCCCACGTGGGGAGCGCAGACACGCGGTGCTGGCACAGCGAGATGTTCTCCCTGGCGGCTGCTGCCCATAACTAATGTTTTTATGGATTTCCCAGCTGCTATCAGGCTCCTTTGAACATGTCAGAGCGCTCAGGGTAGCACTTGTTGTTCCCAAGTGTGCAGCTGAGGAAGCCTTGGCTCAGATCCAGCCGGTCCTTGGCAGCGGAGCGTACTGAGGGTTGTCCAAAATGCGGATGTTTTCATTCAGGAGCGCTGGGAAGTTTCTTGGGACACGTCAGTCTGCTGTGTTTGAGGTAGCACAAGGCAGTCACCTTGTCTGGAGAATAAACACTCCCAGCCATGGGGGCACGCTGGAAGCAATTCCTTGCATTTGTTTTGTTGCCTTTCTCTTCTGCCTTGAAATACAAACTCGTCGTTTGGGGATTAGCGGCTGCCAGAAATGACGAYTGCTATTCTCATTTCTGATATTTAGACAGCTCTGTCTTTTGCCAGTTGTCCAGTTGTTCCTTTGCTTRTTAAATATTGGCATTTTCTTTGGCTGCTGGAGGATGTTGAAGGATGTGCTTGGGAGGATTTGTAAAACCATTCTGATTTGCCTTCCTGTCACCTTAGGTGGTAGAYGTTGGATTAAAACACAATTCTGTTTTGTTCTCCTCTTCAATTTTGAAGTGCTCAATCTGCTTTTCTGTAATTTCAGAAGCCAAAAACCCTACCCAAGGCAATTTCCTTCCTTTTGGGAAAATTATTCAAAAATCTTGTGTCTGAAAGGTTTGAGCTTGCCTGGCTGGTGATTATCCTTTGAAATCCACACCCAGAGAGGAGGTGGTGAGGARCCATTGTGCAGGAGCCTATCCCACCCCACATGGTTGCAGCAAGAGCCTCTGCTTGGGTTCAGGATTGGCTCTGCACAGTGGGAGCAGGGGCAGAAGAAGAAGATGCTGAGAGATCTGGAGGCAGCAACATCCTTTTTCATACTTCTGGTACTTGTGTGTCCAGCACGGCCCGGCCAGGGGCACTGCTGAGTTGGACCCCTCCAGTTGCTGGGCTGTAGCTGCTCTTTTCATGGCATTAATGTCATCCTTTCAATAAGCAGGGCTCTGTGAAAGATGAATCCAGCTTCCTTTAGGAAGGACTGAGGTAGAGACCTTCAGCCAGAAGGAKTTTTGCTGCCAGTGTCCCAGTTGCGCTCTCATTTTCACTCTCGACCTCAAACCCTACCGCTCTCTTTTCTGCCTCCCCCAGGCCTTTCAGGAGCTGGCAAGACAACCATTGGCTTTGCTCTGGAAGAGTACCTGGTGGCTCATGGCATCCCCTGCTACTCCCTGGACGGTGACAACGTGCGTCATGGGCTGAACAAGAACCTGGGTTTCTCGGCGCAGGACCGCGAGGAGAACATCCGCCGCATCGCCGAGGTGGCGCGGCTCTTCGCCGACGCGGGGCTCGTCTGCATCACCAGCTTCATCTCCCCCTTCACAAAGGTAACCTGCGCTGTCTATGGCCTGCTCTCTCCTCAGCTGCATCCCAGAGGAGAGGTTTGTGGGGAGGATTTTCTAAATCCCCCGTTGAGTGCCTCCTTTGGCCGCTTTCGTAGAGCAGCACAGACATGCAGGCACACGCCATCGATGTTTGGAGGGCAATGGCCTCACTGAATTAATGCAGTGTTTCAAATCTAAAAACTAAGAGGGGTTTAAGATGCCCCTGCCATGACTCCTCAGAGGCAGAAAAGAGTCACAGAAGCAGCAGCCTGTCCACTGCTCTTYGGAAGAAGATTTGATTGCGATTTTCTCTTCCATAGCTGCTGCTGATCAGGCTGATGCAGGGAGTTCCTTTTTTCGTAGAATCACAGAATTGGAAAAGACCTCTAAGATCATCGAGTCCCACCATTTCCACACAGGGTGCATAATTACTCACAATCTAAAGTTCTGCTGTCCTGCCTAATGRAAAGGTCTTGAGGTTTTGCATGGGAAAAGCTGAAAACAGATCAAAGTTGTAAATTTTTTGCCATTTTTTTATAAGTATCTTGGAAGAAAAGGAGGGAAGTGAGATGAAAAACCTTATTAGAACGAGTGTAAATTTAGTAAATCCATGAGAGAGAAATTTACCTGTGTCAAATTCCAGGGTTGTCTTTTTTTGCTGCAATTCAGATTTTTCCCATCTCTCTTCTAACAGGATCGTCRGAACGCACGGAAAATTCATGAGGCAGCTGGACTTCCTTTCTTTGAAATCTTTGTAGATGCTCCTCTAAATATTTGTGAAAGCAGAGATGTGAAGGGCCTGTACAAAAAGGCAAGAGCTGGAGAGATCAAAGGTATGGAGGGCTGAGATCTTATTTTGCCTTTTGCTTTCCAAAGCTTTGGATACCTTGTCCCGACAGGGGGGTTTCTAAGGGCCCTTTGTAGTGCCCACGAGGATCCTGTTTCCCTAATCTTGCTGTCACAATTGTCACTGCCTGTASCCAGCATGGTTGACTGCCCTCTGGTTGTTTGTACAGCGTTGTTGGCTCTAAGGCACTGATTATTCTGTTAAATAAATTTAATTTGGGGGTTAATTGTCCGTAGGATTCACGGGCATTGACTCGGACTATGAGAAGCCCGAAGCTCCTGAGCTGGTGCTGAAAACAAACACTGCCTCGGTGTCTGAATGTATCCAGCAGGTCGTGGAGCTCCTCCAAGCACAGGTGTGTCACTTTAATGTCACCTTCATGGCAGCTTTGGAAACCTGCTGTGGGACATGGCCTTTCTGGTGTGCCTGTCAAAACCAGTGGGGTACAATGCTGCCTGTGTGTGCCTTTCAGAACATCGTGCCCCACGGCTCCATCAGGGATGTTCTGGAGCTCTTTGTGCCTGAGAATAAACTCAGCAGCGTCCGGGCTGAGGCGGAGAAGCTGCCAGCCGTGGAGATCACCAAGGTATTGTCACACAGCTTCTGGCATTGTTGGGCTGTTGTGAGAGTAGAAACCTTGGGGAGGATGTTGCCAGAATGGCCTGTGCTCCTCTGATGGCCCCAGCCTCTTGTGGCTGTGGTTTATGTGGCTGAGGTGGGATCCTGATCCTCAGCTATTTTCTGCCACGTCTCCACCTTGTGCTGTGGGGAAGCCAGGGCTGTCAGTCTGTTCTGGTGACAGAGGGCAGGGCCAGATGGGATATTGGGAATTGGGAATTGTTCCCTGGGAGGGTGGGCAGGCCCTGGCACAGGGTGCCCAGAGAAGCTGTGGCTGCCCCTGGATCCCTGGCAGTGCCCAAGGCCAGGCTGGACATTGGGGCTGGGAGCAGCCTGGGACAGTAAAAGCTGTCCCTGCCCTGACAGCAAGGGTGGCACTGGATGGACTTTAAGATCCCTTCCAAGCCAAACCATTCCATGATTCTAAATTCTAAGGAAGTGTGTGAGTCTGGCTTAAGAGGCCCCCAGCTACATCCCCTATATCTTTCTCCCTGTTATGAATATCCTGTATTTGAAGCAAAACAAAATGAAAATGCTCTTTCAGCAGAAGGGAAGGAAAAGCAGCCTCTGAGGGGACGTGGTGACGGGAATGTGCCGGGTGTGTGACCCCTCTGGGTTTGTTTTGCAGCTGGACCTGCAGTGGGTGCAGGTGCTGAGCGAAGGCTGGGCCACCCCCCTGACAGGATTCATGCGGGAAGCTGAGTACCTGCAAGTGCTGCACTTTGGCACCCTGCTCACCGGTACGGATCACCCTGTCCCCTCTGCTGCCAGGAGCCCGGGCTCCTCAGGGTGCCCAAAGCCTCTGTGCTGTGGCCACAGACCTCTGACATCTCTCATGGTGCTGCTCAGACCTGGAGCTGTTGTGGGGCTGGGCCAGGGCAAACGGAGATGCCAACCCAGAACCCAGGAAGCTGGGAGGTTGCCAGGCTGAGCTTGGGAGAAGGCAGGAGAAGGCAGCTGCTCCTTGCAAACGGGGGCTCTCCCACCTCATTTCCCTGTGCTAACTTGAAGTAAATGAGATTTCTCGGTGCACTGGCAGTGGGTTAGAGGCGCTGCATCTCTGGAAAAGGCAAAAAGTGCTCAGGTCATCCCCATCCCCCTCTCCCATCCCCAGGTCAGACCGGGGCACAACTGATTCCACCCCATTTCTCAGCTCTGGATACTCTTGCTGTGCCTTTGCCTGCACACAGCGTGCTCACTTTGGGGTTCCTAGAGCTGGCAGTGATCTCTGCACTCAGGGATCAGGGTGAGAAGGTCCCTTTGAGCCTTTCCTGCCTCCTGAAGACCCCGTGGTCACAGCAGGCAGTGATTTGGCTCCGTGCAGCAGAGGCAGAGCTCAGGGCCGCTCCCTTTGCCCTGCAGCAGTGTCTGTGCGGGGCTCTGCTGTCACACCTCAGCCTTTCACCTCCTGCCTGGTGTGCAAACAGAGCTCAGGAGCCCATGGCCCCCTTATCAGGGTCTCCTCCGTGGTCTGTCAGCTGCCTGACGGGGTCACAGAGCGCCCTGGGATGGCCACGTCACTCCGGAGCTCCGGACTTTGTGCCGGAGGCTCCTCAGAGTGAGTCTGGTTTTGGGATGCCCCCAAAATCTGAGATCCCTGAGAACACTCCCCTGAGGTCTGTGGGGTCAGGGTTTGTAGAGCTCCGTGGGGAGCAGGGACAAAGCCCAGGACAGCAGCTTTGCAGGGGGATGAGCTCTCCAGACTGAGTCTGTGTAGCAGCATCAGTCCTTGGTGCCCCCTGTCTCCACATCTCCAAACTCCACATCTGGGTGCTCAGACCCTTGGGTTGACATCTGAGGAGGGAGAACATCCCCACCTGCTCCTGGCTGAGCCCTGGGAAATGGTGGAGGGTTCCATCTCCTGGTGCTGAGGCTGGGGTGTGGCACTGAGCCTGCTCTGCCCAGAGTCATGGGCCCAGCCCTGGTGCCCTGGGGCAGCTCCCGGGATTGTTTGGGTGCCCTCATAAATGCCACCTGGGTGGGTGCTTTGTGTAGGGCCACCAGGAAGGGCAGTAATCTGCAGGAAGGCACCAAGGCCCTGTGACTCTGTCGGGAGGGTGACAGTGACAGTGACACTGGAGGTGTTGTACCACACTCAGTGTCAGCCAGGCAAGGCTGAGCTGGCACCCTGCAGGACCATGGCCTGTGCTTGGCCAAGCTTTTAAATGCTTTTTCTGTAACATGCCCCTGAGTGTTAATTACCTTAATTGTGTTTGTGTTCTCCCAGGCAAGAGGCGCTCGGTAGCTGGTATGTATGGACTGCTCTCAGGCTCTGCGCAAATTACTTCAATTCAGATTTTTTTTTTTTGGCTATAATTTTTGGAGATTTACCAAAAACAAAACCAAAAAAAAAAGGGAAATTATTACAGCCATGGCCTGTTTATGATCCAGGCAGCTCTGATGTGGCCTGACACACCCTGTGTCCTATGGACCAGTCGGCACAAAAATCCCAGTTGCGTAATTTCATAATTACCTTYACTGGAGTGATCTTTTGTTACCTCTCCATCCTGCATTTGGAGATGGAGCCTGAAGATCCTCACTTTCTGCAACATTTGTTGGTTTCRTAATCCAGCTTTTATTTTCCTGTGCTGGCTTCATTTGACTGATCATTATTAATATGATTTAAAAGTATGAAGTTGATATTGATTGGATCCCATGTGAATATGATTATGATTATTCATGAAAAATTGCTGCCTGGCAGATGAATGATACCCAGTTGTGAATTTAAAGTCAATGCAAATATTTTAATAAAATAAAAGTAAAAATCTGTATCATAGTCAAAAATCCCCAAATTAAGATTCTTGAGGGTCCAAACTGATTTCAGTCAGATCAGAACAAATTGAATCGGTGATTTTTTTTGTGACTGGAAACCCATGGAAGAGACCAATTCTGCTGTAATGACATCGGGATATCTAAGGAGAAATGGGAGGACCTTTAGTGGAATACTGGGAGATTGGGACAGTGGGGACAAAACCTGCGTGATTTCAGGCTATTTAAGGACAACACTCAAATTAGAAACTGCATGTGCACTTACAGAGAAAGCAGGTTCAACATGGACAGTGCAGAGATGTAAAAAGGAGGAMGACGAGCAGTATGGAAATGTCCAGRAAAAAAAAMCCCAAAGGAACAGGGCGTGGTGRTGTTGGAACAGACAGCCYGGGTGGTGTGCAGGGAATGGGRTGCTCCAGGGAGTACCAGACTGGAGCCATCTCCATGGAGGTGGTTCTTCTGGAGGAGAAGGCATTTTCCGAGCACATTTAAATTTTTCCCCTTTCYAACAAGCTAACGGAGAAGAACCAGGGAGAGGGAGTCTGCAGGGAGTAGAGATGTTCCCTAAAATACAGAGCTTTTATACTCCGCTAACATCACCACTGATTAGCAGTGCAGTGATTAGCAGCAGAGCAAACTGGCTGCAACAACTAAATTTCTACGAAAACTAGATTTTTTTTTTTCCATGAAAACTACTGCATTCCCAGTGCCCGGGGCTGGTTAAAACTCCTGTCGGCACAGGACGAGCGGCGGCTGGAGGGTGTGAAACCCCTCCCCTGAGCATCCCCCGTGCCGGGGGRTGTTACAGCCGTCCCTGTGTCCCCGCAGACGGCGTGGTGAATCTGAGCATCCCGATCGTGCTGCCSGTGAGCTCGGAGGACAAGCAGCGGCTGGAGGGCATCGCGGCGCTGGCGCTCAGCTTCCAGGGCCGCCGGGTCGCGGTGCTGCGCAGCCCCGAGTTCTTCCCGCACAGGAAGGAGGAGCGCTGCGCCCGCGTCTGGGGAACCACCTGCCCCCGCCACCCGCACATCCAGGTGGGTTCRGCTCCTCCCCGCCCTGGGAAACGCGGACAGGGGCTGCAGAAGYGAGCCTTTCCGAGCTGTTGAGGCCGATGGGTGTCCTGGCTGTGCTTCCAGCCCGGCTCCCATCCCAAGCAGATTTTTTTAGGCTCACGAGTAAGTGCTCCTCAGTTTGGCTCCTCCATACAGGGTTGTTATGTTTTTACAGCTTCTCTCTTCCCACGTGGCCTGTGACATGTACAAGAGTATCAGCCCTCTGAGAGGGAGAGCTCAGGGTTTCACCCAGTGACTCGAGTTTTCAGCTGAAACAGGCTACAGCCGTGTCAGTTCTTTCCCCCTCCCTTAAAAYGTCTCGTTTAATTAATCAGGTTAATTAATTAATTTAATTATTTCATCCAGATTAATTCACCTTGCAGGAGGCTTGTTCCTCCTGGTATTCCCAGGAGGACAGAGCAAAGCTGAGGTGGAGGAAGGTCTCGTGCCATCATCTGCAGGCTCCTGGCTGGCAGAGGGCACTGGGTGGGCACTGGGTGGGCACTGGGTGGCTGATGCCCCTCTTTAGGAGGTTTTACTGCTGGTGACATCAGTTCACGTGGTCACTGTGACCATGTTTTCCACCAGCAAGAAGGGAAGGTCATGGAGCTGAGCCTCACACCTTTGAAAGGAGCCTGGGTGAGGGAGGAGGAGGAGCTGTCTGTCCCCTTTGCACTGAAGGTGTGTGTCATTCCCAGATGGTGATGGAGAGTGGGGACTGGCTGGTYGGGGGAGACCTGCAGGTGCTGGAGAGGATCCAGTGGAACGACGGGCTGGACCAGTACCGCCTGAGCCCACGGGCTCTCAAGGAGAAGTTCAGGGAGATGAACGCTGGTGAGTGCCCCGGTGACACTGGGGACAGGACATGCACAGGGTGGGGACAGGACATGCACAGGGCTCTCCTGAATGGGGACAGGACACACACAGGGCTCTCCTGAATGGGGACAGGATACATACGGGGCTGGGGACAGGACACACACGGGGCTGGGGACAGGACACACACGGGGCTGGGGACAGGACACGCACAGGGCTCTCCTGAATGGGGACAGGATACATTCGGGGCTGGGGACAGGACACACACGGGGCTGGGGACAGGACACACACGGGGCTGGGGACAGGACACACACGGGGCTGGGGACAGGACACGCACAGGGATGGGGACAGGACATGCACAGGGCTCTCCTGGGTGGCCACTGGACACACACAGGGCTCTCAGTGGCCATGTGGAAGCTCAGATGTGCCAATGAGGTCCRTGAGCCCCTGCACCTTTCCCTTGCAGATGCCGTCTTCGCCTTCCAGCTGCGCAACCCGGTGCACAACGGGCACGCGCTGCTGATGCAGGACACGCGGCGCCAGCTCCTGGAGAGGGGCTACAAGAACCCTGTGCTCCTTCTGCACCCCCTGGGCGGCTGGACCAAGGACGATGATGTCCCTCTGGAGTGGCGCATGAAGCAGCACGCGGCCGTGCTGGAGGAGCAAGTCCTGGACCCCAAGTCCACCATCGTGGCCATCTTCCCCTCTCCCATGCTCTACGCCGGCCCCACGGAGGTAACACAGCCCTTAGGCTGCTCAGCAGGGCAAGATGGGAAGAYTGTCTGTGGGGATTGTGCTCCCAGCCTCCTGTGCAGCTCTGGAAAACCTTAGGAAGGGAGCTGGAGCCGCTGCCCCGCTCTCGGCTCTCTCAGGGTTTGCCTGCGCTTGCTGCTGCAGCATCTCCCTGCAGAGCTCAGCTCTCTGGGCTCCATCTTCTCCTGGGCTGTGGAGAGCTGGGGAGAAGGGGTGGAAACAGGCTTCACCTTCTGTCAGGCAGGAATGTTTCCTCCCCGGTGTTTCCCTTCTGTCCCTGAATCACTGGGATGAAAGGGGCAGATGCTGAACCCCCCTGGTGTGTCCTGAACGCACCTTTGTGCTTTCCCCATTCAAACCAGGGCCTCCATGTGGAGCCAGCCCCATTCCCACATGGATCCCTTCCCCCAGTCCTCAGTGCCCGTGTCCCTCCCTGCAGGTGCAGTGGCACTGCCGGGCCCGGATGGTGGCGGGGGCCAATTTCTACATCGTGGGACGTGACCCGGCGGGAATGCCGCACCCCGACACCAAGCAGGACCTGTACGAGCCCTCGCACGGTGGGAAGGTGCTGAGCATGGCCCCCGGCCTCACCTCCGTGGAGATCCTCCCCTTCCGCGTGGCCGCCTACAACAAACTCCGGAAAGCCATGGATTTCTACGACCCCGCCCGGTAAGGCAGGGGTCGGGCTCCACCAGGGGAGAGGGAAAAGCCGTGCTCACCCCAAGGACAGGGACGGGGGCACAGCCTGGGACAGCCACCCCTGTTCCCTCCAAGAGCTGTCCCCAGGGATCACATGGAACTAAACCGGGGAACACGAGCAGCACRGGCTGGAGGCTGAGTGGCTGCAGGAGCACAGTGTCCCACGGCTGGGCAAGGGTGTTATGGACAGTCCAC